CTCCAGCAGAGCCGAATTCATTCTCCAGATGCCCTTTCCCTCTCAGTGGCGTATCTGAAACATTTAAAGTCACAGTAAGTAAAAGGTGATCAGAAAACCCCACCGCTCGACATTCAGGTACCGAGAAGGCAGAGTCCTCCTTCAAAAAAAAAACCTATCTATTCTACTCTGACAACTGCCTCTCCTATACATGAAACCAGTGCTGTCCGGGTTGCTCTTAACCAAGGCATCCACCAGACCTGCTTCCCTGACTATCGCATTTAAGAAAACGCTGTCATATCCCAGCCTGTCATTGGAGCCTTTCCTGTCCTTGGGCCTAGTCACGGTGTTAAAGTCACCTCCAAAGACAACCTGCCAGGATGTAAAAAGAAAAGGCTTGATCCTTGTATAGAGGCATTTCCTGTCCCATTTGGACTGCGGTCCATAAATGTTAATTAGGCGCAGTTCCTGCCCCCTCACAAGGACATCCAGGATCAAACACCTTCCAATCTCCACACTCAATGACCCACCGGAGTGTTACCATGTCGGTAAAAAGAACCGCAACTCCGTTGTAAGGCTCAGCCGCAAGAGACCAGAAGGAAGGACCACGCCTCCACTCCCTCTTAGCCAGATGGACATCGGCTAGACTGCACAACCTGGTCTCTTGCAAAAACAAAACATCAACATCAATCCTGCTGAGCAAAAGTAAGGCTGTATCTCTAGCACTTATAGATTTAATGCTGGTGACATTAATGGTCGTCACCTTTAACGGAGTGGGAACTGCCATTTGGGTCATTGGCGTTTCTTACTCTTTCCTTTTCCCTTCCCTTTCCCTGCAAAGGCCACCACTTCCTCAGGTACTCCCTCCCACCCCCATCGAGGATAAGGAGCTTACTGACCCCCCTTCATCCTCCCCCTATCATCATTAACCTTCCTAAGGGGTCCCAAGACTTCCCCATACCGTTGCAGCCAGATCATGATATCTGCTGCAGGGAAGGATTCATTACGCACAAGGATGGTAATGTTTTTAACCAAAGGCTGCCTAGAAATTACCTTGGGGACAAGCCCCTCCCATCTCTCCGACCCCTTCCACCTGTCATCATACTTCTGCCAGAACACATCCAACATGTCACTCCTGACAAAGGAGACATCGTACTCCCCTGATCCTACAGGGGCAATGAGGGCAAATATATCACTAGCTTTAAAGCCCATTTCTAGCAGGCGATCCACCACCTCTCTCCTGCCAGGAGAAGGGCCCTGTCCATGTCACTTCAACTGGACCACATTCCTCCTTTTGACTGATGACCTTACCTCCCCAGGGTGACCCATCAGCAACCGAGCCCTCTTTAGGGCAGCAGTATAACTTGGGTCCTCCATAACAGGGCCAGATGAAGGGGCACCAACAGCCGCCACATAACTCCTGACCCCAGATCTGGCAGCTGGGCCCCCAGGGGCTGCCTTATTGCTAGGAGTCCCAGCATCAGGGCCCAACACAGGGCCACCTGCAACTACTGTAATATCCTTCCCCCGAGACACCAGAACACTAGTGGCAGTTGCCCTGCCCATAACATCAGCAACCCAGTGCAGATGCGCTGGCAAAATTTACTCCATCAGCCCCCCAAGAACCGGGCCAGGCCCAGGGACTTTCATGACAACCACAGCTCCCCCCGACTCAGCAGTAAGGGGGAACTAAGGGAAACAGGCACAGATTTATCACATACATTTCCTGAAACCACATTTACCCCTTGTCCCCAACTGAGTCCTCTGGGCCTTTGGCCTGCAATGCCTCCACACTACCGGCACCCTGCTCTGAGCCAGGCTCCTGCTGGCTCCGTACATGAGCCAACTCTTTCTCCGGCAGTCTCTGCAACTTGACGAAGACCGCCTTTTCCACCGCTCTTAGCTTCAGAGGTTTGGAGACCCCAGTCTCTTCCTCATCAGGCTCCTCAGAACCAAACAGAAAATGTCGCCCCTGCAGCGGGGACTCCAACACTTTCACAAACTGCATCTCACCAGCCGCCTCCGCAATCTCCACCTGCGACCCCCAGTCAGACGGTTGTTGCCTTGGGGGGATCAGCTTCGCAGTATCCTCTACCTCCACCACCTCAGCCTTAGAGTTGCCTGCCACTCGGCTCTGCACGGTTGCTCCAGGATTCTCCAACGGCACCGACGTTCCTCCTCCATGCTGGTCTGCCCCTCTGCCAGACCGTCCAGGGATGATGATGACAAGGCGCCTCTCGGCTGCCAACACAGCCTTCCCCCTGGCCAGCTTGCTACGATCCACAGCATCACCCTTCTCATGGAGCAAGCTGCCGGCAGCTTTCAGGGTAGACACAATCTTGCTCTGAACCCGCAGCTTTTGCTCCAGCTTTTCCAAATCAGGCTTCATGGCCACACGTTTATTACTCCACAAACGATCATATGCACTGCGGAATTTTTTAACCTTCGCTTTCAGCTTAGTTAGCTTCTCCTCTTCACGGCCGATCCGGCTCACACATACATTCCTGCGATCTTTCTAAATTGCATAGGGCTCCCCCTTCCTCGGACCCTTTCCCACATCCCCAGATGACACACAGGGACCGGTACTCGGATCCTCCGAGGGGCCCCCACCACCTGGATCCTGCCCGGAACCACTCATCCCTCCTGGGCAGGGAGGGAAATCCAACTCCCGGCTCGCAATAGGCCTCTGGAAGACTCAGAGCTCACTCTCCACACGACCACACCCGCAGCTGCTGACACCAGACTGCCGTGTGGGCTGCAGTACCAGGGCTGGCCAGCGGGTGCTTTCAGCAACCAGAAGCTCACTCCTGCAATCAGCCATCACCTGAGGCTGATTGCAGGAGGTGTATTTAAGGAATGGCCAGACCTGCAGTCAGTGCCTTGGTGTATGTTTCCTATGAGCCCCTGTACCTGCATCCTGTCTGCTTCCTGCCTGATCCTGACTCTGCTTTGATCCTGTCTCTGAACGAACTCCGCCTGTCCTGACCTCGGCTATTCCTGACCACTCTTCCGCTCGCTCCTGGTACCCTGTTTGCTACCGACCGGCCAGCCCGACTACGTTTGATTTGTATATATGGTTATCTGTTGGAGTTTGGGTTGTTTGCACTGTGTTATGTTTACCTTGCACTGCGTTTGTGTTGTTTAGTCTTAATAAATTGTCTTATTTACACTATACCTGAAGCCTGCGTTTCCCTGTGTCAGTCCACACACCTCTGGTCATACCCGGAGCCCTGACATTACACCAAGGCCATTCCTGACCAGAAGTGGCTGCACAGGGAAGCCATCTTGGCTTGTTGTTGTGAAGGATGCATCCAGAGGAGGTTATATACTTGTGTCTGCTAGTCTAAGATGACAGAGAATATGCCTATCGGACTCTGCAGGAGTATACCAGGGATCACCTGCTAGAGTGCATACGGGTCACTCATTCCCTAGTAGATCAGGGCACAGAGTTCTCTGAGGTGCAACCATTGATTCAGGCTTGTGTTGAGTTGGCTTCATCTAGTACCCCTGAAAGCAGGGATGACTTTCTTCCACCATTCAGTGTGGATCAAATAGAATCACTGGCATGGTTGTTGGAGGATGATCCGGATTGCTTCTGGGAACATTATTCAGCATGTTCACCACATGTGCTAGTGGAGTGTATAAACGTAGTGCAGTCTTTGGTCAGACAGACTATGTGTAAGCTGAGTTTTGTTCAACCAATACTACAGTCCTGGTCAGACTTGTTACACCCAGCCTCAGTCAGCTTGCAACAAACCAGTCCTGCTTCTAATCATTCCTCTGCTCAAAGCTCTACTCTTGCATTCCCAACAGCACCCCCAGTTACAGCCCAATATACCCTGCTATCTACCACATGTCAGTACCCTGTTCCCACTCGCTGCACCAATCCTGCCTTTAACCGTGTAAAAAAGGCCGCTGTAACAACTATTCCCTCCTCTGTTCCACCCTCCAGCTCTTCTCTGTCCCCAGCTACTCCATCCATTTACAGACCTGCATTTACTTGCAGTGCCCCAGTAACTAAACCCAAGAAGAAACGAAAATTCTTTCCAACCAGTACCATCCTACCAGTATCCAAACCGGTCAGCTTGCTGTCTGAGAACCCGCCTTCCGTTGTTCAGCCTGATGCCCTGATGCCTGATGACCCAGTGTACGCTACCCAGCCTGATGACCCTATCCAGCCTGATGACCCGATCCGGCCTGATGACCCGATCCAGCCTGATGAACCGATCCAGCCTGATGATCCTACCCAGCCTGATGATCCTATCCAGTGTGATGACCTGGTGCCCGCTACCCAGCTTGATGGCCCGATCCAGCCTGATGGCCCGATCCAGCCTGATGACCCGGTGTTCGTGATCCAGCCTGATGACCCGATCTAGCCTGATGGCCCAATCCAGCCTGATGATCCGGTGTTGGTGATCCAGCCTGATGATCCTACCCAGCCTGATGATCCTATCCAGCTTGATGACCTGGTGCCCGCTACCCAGCCTGATGGCCCGATCCAGCCTGATGGCCCGATCCAGCCTGATGGCCCGGTGTTCGTGATCCAGCCTGATGACCCGATCCAGCCTGATGACCCAATCCAGCCTGATGACCCGATCCAGCCTGATGACCCGGTGTTCGTGATCCAGCCTGATGATCCTATCCAGCTTGATGACCTCGTGCCCGCTACCCAGCCTGATGGCCCGATCCAGCCTGATGGCCCGATCCAGCCTGATGACCCGATCCAACCTGATGACCCGGTTCAGCCTGATGACCCGGTGTTCGTGATCCAGCCTGATGACCCGATCCAGCCAGATGACTCGGTGCCCGCTGTCGTGCCAGATGACTCGGTGCCTGCTGTCGTGCCAGATGACTCGGTGCCCACTGTCGGACCAGATGACTCAATGCCCACTGTCGAGCTTGGTGACTCGGTGCCCGCTGTCGTGCCAGATGACTCGGTGCCCGCTGTCCTACCAGATGACTCGGTGCCCGCTGTCGTACCAGATGACTCGGTGCCCGTTGTCGTACCAGATGACTCGGTGCCTGCTGTTCTGCCAGAGGACTCGGTGTCCGCTGTCGAGCTTGGTGACTTGGTGCCCGCTGTCGAGCTTAGTGACTCGGTGCCCGCTGTCGTGCCAGATGACTCGGTGCCCGCTGTTCTGCCAGATGACTCGGTGCCCGCTGTCGAGCTTGGTGACTCGGTGCCCGCTGTTCTGCTAGATGGCCCAGTGCCTGCTGCCCAGCCTGATGTGCCTCTGTCCGCTGCCCAGCCTGATGTGCCCCTGTCCGCTGCCCAGCCTGATGTGCCTCTGTCCGCTGCCCAGCCTGATGTGCCTCTGTCCGCTGCCCAACCTGATGTGCCTCTGTCCGCTGACCAGCCTGGGAACATTATTCAGCATGTTCACCAAATGTGCTAGTGGAGTGTATAAACGCAGTGCAGTCTTTGGTCAGACAGACTATGTGTAAGCTGAGTTTTGTTCAACCAATACTACAGTCCTGGTCAGACTTGTTACACCCAGCCTCAGTCAGCTTGCAACAAACCAGTCCTGCTTCTAATCATTCCTCTGCTCAAAGCTCTACTCCTGCATTCCCAACAGCACCCCCAGTTACAGCCCAATATACCCTGCTATCTACCACATGTCAGTACCCTGTTCCCACTCGCTGCACCAATCCTGCCTTTAACCGTGTAAAAAAGGCTGCTGTAACAACTATTCCCTCCTCTGTTCCACCCTCCAGCTCTTCTCTGTCCCCAGCTACTCCATCCATTTACAGACCTGCATTTACTTGCAGTGCCCCAGTAACTAAACCCAAGAAGAAACGAAAATTCTTTCCAACCAGTACCATCCTACCAGTATCCAAACCGGTCAGCCTGCTGTCTGAGAACCCGCCTTCCGTTGTTCAGCCTGATGCCCTGACCCAGTGTACGCTACCCAGCCTAATGACCCGATCCAGCCTGATGACCCGTTCCGGGCCGGATGACCCGATCCAGCCTGATGAACCGATCCAGCCTGATGATCCTATCCAGTGTGATGACCTGGTGCCCGCTACCCAGCTTGATGGCCCGATCCAGCCTGATGGCCCGATCCAGCCTGATGACCCGGTGTTCGTGATCCAGCCTGATGACCCGATCCAGCCTGATGACCCAATCCAGCCTGATGACCCGATCCAGCCTGATGACACGGTGTTCGTGATGCAGCCTGATGATCCTACCCAGCCTGATGATCCTACCCAGCCTGATGACCTGGTGCCTGCTACCCAGCCTGATGGCCCGATCCAGCCTGATGGCCCGATCCAGCCTGATTACCCAATCCAGCCTGATGACCCGATCCAACCTGATGACCCAGTCCAGCCTGATGACCCGGTGTTCGTGATCCAGCCTGATGACCCGATCCAGCCAGATGTCTCGGTGCCCGCTGTCGTGCCAGATGACTCGGTGCCTGCTGTCGTGCCAGATGACTCGGTGCCCGCTGTTGTACCAGATGACTCGGTGCCCGCTGTTCTGCCAGGTGACTCAGTACCCGCTGTCGAGCTTGGTGACTCGGTGCCTGCTGTCGAGCTTGGTGAGTCGGTGCCCGCTGTCGTGCCAGATGACTCGGTGCCCGCTGTCGTACCAGATGACTCGGTGCCCGCTGTTGAGTTTGGTGACTTGGTGCCCGCTGTTGTGCCAGATGACTCGGTGCCTGATGTCGTGCCAGATGACTGGGTGCCCGCTGTTGAGCTTGGTGACTCGGTGCCCGCTGTCGTGCCAGATGACTCGGTGCCCGCTGTCCTACCAGATGACTGGGTGCTCGCTGTCATACCAGATGACTCGGTGCCCGCTGTCGTACCAGATGACTCGGTGCCCGCTGTTCTGCCAGATGACTCGGTGCCCGCTGTTCTGCCAGATGACTCGGTGCCCGCTGTTGAGCTTGGTGACTCGGTGCCCACTGTCGAGCTTGGTGACTCGGTGCCCGCTGTCGTGCCAGGTGACTCGTGCCCGCTGTCGTGCCAGATGACTCGGTGCCCGCTGTCCTACCAGATGACTCGGTGCTCGCTGTCATACCAGATGACTCGGTGCCCGCTGTTCTGCTAGATGGCCCGGTGCCTGCTGCCCAGCCTGATGTGCCTCTGTCCGCTGCCCAGCCTGATGTGCCTCTGTCCGCTGCCCAGCCTGATGTGCCTCTGTCCACTGCCCAGCCTGATGTGCCTCTGTCCGCTGCCCAGCCTGATGTGCCTCCGCTCGCTGCCCAGCCTGATGTGCCAGCCCCTGATGTCCAGCTAAACTGGCCAATAACTGATTCCCAGCCTGCTCCGGGAGATCCTGTGTCCAGTAACCTGCCTTCCTGGGTTCTCCTACACAAGGAGAAGTCTACTAGCAGGAAACCCAGCCAGCCGATTGACTCCAGCAGTAGGATATCCAGCCAGTTACCTGACATGGGCGGTGGAACATTTTGCCCACTAAGGACTGTTTGGAGCGTCCTGAGGCCACTCCTTGAGGGGGGGGTACTGTCAGGAATGGAGATTTTTTATTGTACAATTGTAGCACAGGCACAACAGGCACAACAGACCTAGATCCTAACTCAACCACCCCCGCCCCTTTGGCGTCCTCAACCAATTTCCTCCCTCTCCTGGGAAGGGGGACAGGTGCTACAGAAGGGACTGCAGGGGACTCTACTGGATTAGGCTCTGCAGGGGTAACTGAAATGGGCTGGGCCTCAGACGCCTCCCCTCCTGCCCCGGAAGACACTGCAGAAGACACACCAGCTTTCTTCGCCCCCAACTCAGCCTCCTCAGCATCCATCCAGTCCTGCTCTGCTGCCAACTCATCTACAGGCAAGTTGCATAGAGCCTCAGGACATTGACTATAGGAGTGTCCTAAAACACCGCAGAGATTGCAACGAATCTGGTTGCAGTCCCTCGCCAAGTGACCGATTTCCTGGCATACAGAACACCTAATAACAGGACAGGTGGAGGTGAAATGCCCCTTGCCACCACATCTGTGGCACACCCGAGGCTGACCCGGATAAAAAATGATCAGCCGGTCTTTCCCCAAGAAGGCCGAGGAGGGGATGTGTTGCAGGACGTGATCAACCACCCTCAAACAGACATGTGCCGTCCATCCTCCCGTCCAGATTTTCCTATCATCCAAAATTTTCTGAAGGGGTCCCAACACATCTCCATATCTCCCCAGCCAGACAACTATATCCGAGGCCGGAACAGACTCATTCCGGACGAGAATTGTCACCTTTTTAATCATGTTCTGACGTGAAATAAGCTTTGGGGTGAGACCCGCCCACCTGGGGCTGTTGACGAATCCCATTTCTAGGACCCGGTCTATAACCTCTTTGCGGCTCAGAGTTGGAGCCTCCCCGGTCCATTTTAATTGTACTAAATTCCTGCGAACCACAGATGTTGGCAGGTTCCCCGCCCTTACTTGGAGTGGCCTAGCTGACTCCTGACCCCCTCTTAATGCCACCGAATAACTCCTGGGCTTGGCCTGGTCATAGAGGTACCCACTGCAGAGGGACCTGAAGCAAGAGGGACCAGAACCGGAGCAGCTGAGACTGTAGAGCCAACCCCAGACAAAACGGGCTCAGCAGAGGCCAAAGGCCTAGGGATTGGACCAGCAGAGGTGAGACTCCGCACCACAGACCCTGGGAAGACCTGAGCAATAGCAAGGGGACCAGGGGAACTAGGCACTGCACCAGGAGCAACCACCACCCCCAAGGGACTGGGACTAGGTGGGACCTGGACCGGAGCACTGACAGGGGCAGTAACACCAACACCTGAACTTACAGAGGGAACCCCCACCACAGATCCTCCAGCACATGCATCCCCAGCCATCGCTACATTACCAGGCACATTACCACCCAATGCGTCAGAGTTCTGCACCACGTCCTTAACGGCCGGTTCCCCAGCTCTTGCCAGCAGGCCACTGTTAGGCATACGCTCGAGCTTCACATACACCGCCCGCTCTGTTAGAACCGGCTTCGGCGGCTTCCGTGACTTCCGTGATGCCACTTCCTCCACTTCGCCATCAGACTCCTCTGAAGCAAAGCGGAAGGCATCCGCCTGTAGTACCTGCCCCACTTCCACCTCGAAGCAAAGCTCTCCCACTGCCTCCGCTTCCTCCATCCGTGTCCCCCAATCAGCCGACTGCTGCTGCCCAAGGGGGAGGGAACCAGACTCTCCCGTGCTCGCCGCAGCCAGTGCGTCTTCCTTATTGGGATCAGTGCCATGCTGGGAAGATGCAGCGGGCTCAGCTGGCCCCTGCACCTGCTCACCTTCCACCATGAGCTCCTCTGACAATTCCTCGGAGGAGGAGGCCTCCTCCACCGGGCCCCTCACAGCTTCAACACTGCGGCTTCTTGCTGCCTTGAATCTGGCATCATTCTGGTACTTTTCCCAGAGGATTCCACTCTTGCGCTTCAGCGCCGCCAGATATTTTTCCTGCAGAGAAACTGTAAAATATCGTATTGTCTCGATATTTTATTAACTTGTATTGATGAGAAATGTTCAAATAGAAAGTCCTTCCACTTCTTGCATAAACTCAAAAAGATGATTTAATTATAATGTTGCATAAAATTAGAAATAAAATATTGGAATACAGAATGTTTAAATAAAGTCCAAAAAGTATAGTTAAGTTCTTAATAATAAAATTGTATGTAATTGTGTGTGTATAATATGAATGTGTGTGGATATGAGCAAGCAGCTCCCTTCGCCTTGCTGCCCAAAGAATGATTTAAACCTTTGTCCTGCTCTAGAAAGAGCAATCCAGCCCCCACCTTTCCTAAAAATGGGCTGGTATACTTGTAGTCCCACAAAGATAATTGGAAACAGATGTGTATATATAACAAACCTCCAGTCTACTTCTCCTAAAGTCTGAGCGTAACCTAAGAAGGCCTAGACAAAACTTCACTGACATTCCATCAATTAGAATACATTAGATGTATAAACACATACATATATATATATATATATATATTCTCCTAAAAAGTAATCTTACTAAGAGTTATCTCGTATATAAATATCGTAATCAAGAAATATTACAGTAAACCTTGTAAACCGAACAATTCACTAGTTAGTGAAACATATAATCTCTTACATAGATGGGGGAGGATGGGGGAAGGTATAGCTAATTGCTCTCATATGTGGCTTGAATGTAAAGGACAAACCCAAGATATATGTTCATATGTATATTCACAGACTATGAAGTCTAATTCCTTACTTTTCCCAATCTAGAACAAATATAAAATATAATAACTCAATTATTCTATTAAGATCCAACTCATTCATACTTATGTTAGTACTGTTAATAAGAAGATATTAGATATTAGGTTAAGAAAGCTTCTAACAAAATGACGATTTTATCTGCTTCAATGCTTCCAGGGCTTGGCATTCA